AGAAGTATATCAGCAGTATAATATTGTGTAATCTTGTGTATAGAAGTATATCAGCAGTATGATATTGTGTATAGAAGTATATCAGCAGTATAATCCTGTATATAGAAGTATATCAGCATTATAATCCGTCTTCCCATCTATCAACCCAGATAACTACTGTGGCATGGTGTCCTGCTTCACAGTTAAGAACCCCAAAGTAAGATTTTTTTTCTTCAACATGGTTTAGGACTTTTTGGAAAATTGATTATGATTTTTAGGTTTTTTATTCAATATATTATTTGCTTCAAAATTATCAAATGTTATTACTCGTAGTAATTGTAAAACTGCAAAAATGCGAATTTTATACTTATTTCTCCTGTCATGGCTTTTTTTTTTTTTTTTCCAGTGCCGTCTATTTCTCTTAATAATGTGAGATAAAAAAAAATAATCAGAATTAAACATTTCAATCAAGAAACTAAAATATTTAAATGAAACAAAAACAAATCCATAAAACATAAATAACAAGCCTTAGCAAGGTTCCTTGGAGACGTTTTAGCACAATTATATAAACGCTGTCGTACAGTAGACGTCGTGTATACTGTTTATCATAAAAATGGAAACACCTTTCGATTTCAATTTAGATTTCTACCAATCTTTCCAACCGCATGGATACACTTAAACATTAAACAAAGGAAAGCTGTAAAATAACAGCTTCTCTTTGTTTACTTGTAAACTTTCAATAAAAAATCATCTTAATTGTATTGATATAAACGCCGATCACTATAGGAAAGATAAGAAGAAGAAAGACAATGTTGGAACGGAGGGAACAGCAGATTTGATTGCTTTGGGTACAACGGCTGGTACAGTTCTTCTGTACAGGTAAATACGTCCAGAAATAGTTAATAGAACAAAGCAGGGTTTGGGGCAAGATATCAACTTAAAACTATGTTAATTAAAATTAATTTTTTTAATTATTTCATATTAACCTGATTAAATTTATATTTGTTTAAATGCTCTAAAAGCCGGCTTGTGAACAGCTGACTTTAATTTAGTCGGATATTAGTCCAATTTATATAGCATTGTATCTGTACTTGTTATCAAACGTAGCATTTATACAGTAGAAATATCNAAAGCTATGTAGTATCAAGAAAGAATGATCAAGATATCCATATTTTCTGTTTAAATACTGATTATTTTTAATTGTGGGTTCTCTGCAAAAGTGACTCGCGCATTTCTACTCCAGAAACAATGGAGAATATTGACAGAAAAAAGCACTTTTTAATCAAGAAAAAAAATATTACCATAATAAACTGCGAAAAATCAAAAATTATAGTAAATAGTGTCGGGGTCGAGGCCCGAGGGGGGGGCGAAACTTGGTTCGCCCCCCCCCCTAGTTGCGCCACTGTGTGTTTTACCTTTTTTGCTGACAATATTGCCGGAGATATTAAGAATTTCGTTCAGATTTCAATTTCATTCAATTAAGCCAGAATTGTCGAAATCTGAATGATATTTATTATACATATATCCGGAAATTTTTAAAACTCAAAATAGCATTCCACAATTCGAAATTGTCTAGACTATATATATTGCGATTATTCTCTTAAAGACTTTTACTCATAGAATTAGGATTACAAATAAATGCCCCAAATTATTTCAGAGATCAAAGACGACTTTCAATTCGTCTGGCTGCTCTCATGTTTCATGGAATACTATATTTGCAATTCTGTATTTCATTAATTTAAATTTAAAGTGTTACAATGGGCGACGTGGTCACCAAGCTTGATGTATCTCTATCCACAATTCGAATCCAGTCAATTTCTTGGAGCAATTCGAGCAAAACTTTATTCGTCGGAGCAGAGGTAAATGTGCTCTTGGAGCAATCTCTCTTGAGCTAAATCGAAATTGAATTGTAATTGATCATGAAGGGAATTTGATATAAATCTGAATTGTTTGAACAAATTGGTTGTTATACAGTACATTCAAGGATTATAGGATTAAAATCCATCGAGAAGGCTTTAACCAGAATGGGTTGGGCCCCGTGGTTGATTTCCCCTCGTCCCTTTGTGTTCTTTTGAGCCTATTTTATTTAAAAAAAACTGTAAAATTAAATTTTTTCCGTTATTTCTTTTCTGCTCTTCATCTCGCAATTGACACTTCACTCGTAAAAATTTTCTCCTTAAATTCTTTTACTATAATTTTTTTCATTTCAATTTATAAATTTCGTTTAACAGGGGGCTCTGCTAAAACAGCCCTAGGATATGAAGTCCTCCTGCTGCGGATCTGATTTTTTCTTTTTACATGTTATATGTTTTACTCTCAATTTTAATTTGTAAAATTGTTTCCGCTGAAATAATTGTGATGTAATTTTATTTTTTATTTCATTTTTTATTTCATTTCATTTCATTTCATTTCATNTCATTTGATTTCATTTGATTTCATTTGATTTCATTTGATTTCATTTGATTTCATTTGATTTCATTTGATTTCATATGATTTGAATTTCAAGAGTGAATATTTTCTAGGGGAAAAAATCATTTTTAGTTTGAATGATTTTACTTGGGGAAAGTCCTTCAATGTTTAACTAACGTATCGAAATGAAAGAAAAAGTTTCCTCTTGATGTCCAATTGTGTATCATTTCCCCCTAAAATCATCATCATTTCCCCCGGCCCCCAATAGGGGTGATAATTCTGAAAATTGCACACCCCTGAGCGCTTTTTTCAAAATAGTATTTAACTGTTAATCTGTTTAGGACGGAATGTAGTATTTACTGATTTTAAGAGTGTTAATATGTGAATGTTTAGGACGGAATGGTATTTACTGATTTTAAGATTGTTAATCTGTGAATGTTTAGGACGGAATGGTATTTACTGATTTTAAGATTGTTAATCTGTGAATGTTTAGGACGGAATAGTATTTACTGATTTTAAGATTGTTAATCTGTGAATGTTTAGGACGGAATGGTATTTACTGATTTTAAGATTGTTAATCTGTGAATGTTTAGGACGGAATGAGTATTTACTGATTTTAAGAGTGTTAATCTGTGAATATTTAGGACGAACTAGAGTAATTACTGATTTTAAGAGTGTTAATCTATAAATGTTTAGGACGGAATGTAGTATTTACTGATTTTAAGAGTGTTAATCTATGAATGTTTAGGACGGAATGGTATTACTGATTTTAAGATTGTTAATCTGTGAATGTTTAGGACGAAGTAGAGTAATTACTGATTTTAAGAGTGTTAATCTATAAATGTTTAGGACGGAATGGTATTTATTGATTTTAAGATTGTTAATCTGTGAATGTTTAGGACGGAATGGTATTTACTGATTTAAAAATTGTTAATCTGTGAATGTTTAGGACAGAATGTAGTATTTACTGATTTTAATATTGCAAATCTGTAAATGTTAATGACGGAATGGTATTACTGATTTTAAGATTGTTAATCTGTGAATGTTTAGGACGGAATGAGTATTTACTGATTTTAAGAGTGTTGATCTATGAATGTTTAGGACGGAATGGTATTACTGATTTTAAGATTGTTAATCTGTGAATGTTTAGGACGAAGTAGAGTAATTACTGATTTTAAGATTGTTAATCTATAAATGTTTAGGACGGAATGGTATTTATTGATTTTAAGATTGTTAATCTGTGAATGTTTAGGACGGAATAGTATTTACTGATTTAAAAATTGTTAATCTGTGAATGTTTAGGACAGAATGTAGTATTTACTGATTTAATATTGCAAATCTGTAAATGTTAATGACGGAATGGTATTACTGATTTTAAGATTGTTAATCTGTGAATGTTTAGGACGGAATGAGTATTTACTGATTTTAAGAGTGTTAATCTGTGAATATTTAGGACGAACTAGAGTAATTACTGATTTTAAGAGTGTTAATCTATAAATGTTTAGGACGGAATGTAGTATTTACTGATTTTAAGAGTGTTAATCTATGAATGTTTAGGACGGAATGGTATTTACTGATTTTAAGATTGTTAATCTATGAATGTTTAGGACGGAATATAGTATTTACTGATTTAAAGATTGTTAATCTGTGAATGTTTAGGACGGAATGGTATTTACTGATTTTAAGATTTTTAATCTGTGAATGTTTAGGACGGAATAGAGTATTTACTGATTTAAAAATTGTTAATCTGTGAATGTTTAGGACGGAATATAGTATTTACTGATTTTAAGAGTGTTAATCTATAAATGTTTAGGACAGAATGTAGTATTTACTGATTTTAAGATTGTTAATCTGTGAATGTTTAGGACGGAATGAGTATTTACTGATTTTAAGAGTTTTAATCTATAAATGTTTAGGACAGAATGTAGTATTTACTGATTTTAAGAGTGTTAATCTATGAATGTTTAGGACGGAATGGTATCTACTGATTTTAAGATTGTTAATCTGTGAATGTTTAGGACGGAATGAGTATTTACTGATTTTAAGAGTTTTAATCTATAAATGTTTAGGACGGAATGGTATTTATTGATTTTAAGATTGTTAATCTGTGAATGTTTAGGACGGAATGGTATTTACTGATTTTAAGATTTTTAATCTGTGAATGTTTAGGACGGAATAGAGTATTTACTGATTTTAATATTGCAAATCTGTAAATGTTAATGACGGAATGGTATTTACTGATTTTAAGAGTGTTAATCTATTAATGTTTAGGACGGAATGTAGTATTTACTGATTTTAAGAGTGTTAATCTATGAATGTTAATGACGGAATGGTATTACTGATTTTAAGATTGTTAATCTGTGAATGTTTAGGACGGAATGTAGTATTTACTGATTTTAAGAGTGTTAATCTATAAATGTTTAGGACGGAATGGTTTCCATATTCTCTGTTCTAGAGTTAGAATTGTTAGCCAGGTAAATTTACAATCCATCATCAAACCAATTAATCGTTTTAATGAATCAATTAACCATTAATATTAACCAATCAATTAACCAATTCATAAAGAGAAGTGTTAAAACTAATCTCAACTTTCCCTGATTTAATTATTAATTTACTTAAGAATTCTATTTTTTGAGTATTTTTCAATATCATTTTACATTTTTATATCTTATTGTTCATCCAAATAGTGTTTATTTTTTTTGTAAGAAAGAATTTAATGTGATGGGGTCCGGGGTTGTATTTCCTCATAATTCTCAGTTTTCTCCAAAAAATGATTTTTTTTACAAATACCGTTTTCTAGGTTTAAAGCTGGAAAGGAGCCTGTATATTCTCTTGCTGTGACTAAGGACGATAAGAAGCTTGTCACAGGAAACAAGAACTGTTAATTGTTTTAACGCCTTTGGGTCAACATTACCGACCCATGATTTCTTTAACTTAACAGAAGGATGTTAAGTTACTTAATGTCCCGGGGAACAATTAAAAAAATAATCACCCGCCGCGGCGAAGTTTTCATAAAAAATTCAGCGCATTTTGATCACAAAAAGACGATTAAATAGAGTAGTACACCTATTTTTTCTTAAAATTAAAAATTTTACTTGACCATTTGCGCCAACAAAATATCCCTTGCTATGCTCTAGTTATTTTGTTGGCAAAATTTGTCTTGGGAACCCTTGGTAAAGGTAAATTCCTTTAACTACCCTTTAAAGCCGTTGTAAATAATTAATATACAATAATAACATAATTTTAATGAGAACAATTGCAGGGAATAATACTTTCTTATAGGGAGTGACCGGCTATGTAAGGTAGTTGAACTGAGTATGCAGTGTTGTGGAAAACTTCTTTCGGATTCATTTGAGACATATAAAACTTTTAAAGATCTGTAAATCCTGAGTTTGAGCGCAAATTCGACGTTCTAAACTCCCACTTTGGGGGTGGGTACGTTTTCAGAATTAGTTTTTTTAAGTTATTAAATAACGACGACATAAAATGTAAAAGAAATTCTACAGTAAACTAATTAGTGTTTAGGAACAGGTTGAGAAAAAAGAATTAATCTTATCATCGAACATAAGTAATCTTGTTCAATTATTAGTTTCTATTTTCTCATTATTCACAAAGATTTTCTCAAATATTATTGAAAAGACGACATTTGAAGAATTTGAAGAAATCTGCGAATAAATTCAAAGAAAATAAGAAATTCCATTTAATGATGAAAACGAAGTAATCGATTCTAGCATTGATTTATTGACAAATTTCTTTTGTGAAATATGTTCCTAGCCATCTAATTAGATTACTGTATATTTTTTACTCCATTTTCGTCGTCGTTATTTAATAATTAAAAGAAACTAATTCTGAAAACGTATCCACCCCCAAAGTAGGAGTTTTGAACGTCGAATTTGCGCTCAAACTCAGGATTTACTGATCTTTAAAAAGTTCTATATGTCTCAAATGAATCCGAAAGAAGTTTTCCACAACACTGCATACTCAGTTCGACTACCTTACATAGCCGGTCTGTCCCTTTTTAAAAATAATTCCTCCCTTTCTTCAAAAATCAGTTAGCATGCCAGAAATATTTGCTTAAGTGGTAAACGTTTTCAGCATAAAGGAATTGAGTTTTTGACACAAACTAAAAATTTCTAATCCTCAAATCTTTCAAATCTGACGGTTTAAATGTTTGATATATCAAACTTAGAGTATTTGATCCAACAGAATTTATAGTTTGAAATATCAAAGGTTTACGACATCGGGTTAAAGAGATATATGGATTAAAAATCAGAGCTTGTGGCAAAAATTCAATTCCTTATTTAGAATGAAACCTTCAGTATATACTATTTAAAAAATTAAGAAAAAAAAACATTTATAATTAATTTAATGTTTAGGTAAA